TATGGGAGTTCCCTCTCCCGTATGCTGAGCTTGGGCACCACTGCTCTAAAGGGTCAGAGGATTGGCTGAAGAAGATGGAGTGGGCCAAAATAAACGTTCCATGCAAAGGAGCCCAAAAAAGAGCCACCACAACCCAAGTGTAAGCGCTCCCAAGACGTGCCAGGTTTTGCAGAGAATGCAAAAAGCCGCATACTCTTAGGACCAGTTGACGGAAACCACCCTTATGGCAGGATACCTCGAGACAAGAGATTAGTGGAACGCTCACGGATAGCTAAAATTCGGATTCAGTTCGGTCATCATTATAGGTGTACAGATCCGTAGCTAAGATGACAGAGGTACTGGCCTAAGAGATTGAAGCTTCAGACGCCGAAGATTGGAATAAAGTAAGCTAAGGATTGCTAAACTACGAACCCCTCTTTGTTGAGCTGCATGGCAGTTAGTCGAATGAACAACACATCACCAACGACGAAGAGGACTAAGTCCACACCACTGTGACTTTATTTAGCAAATTTAGCAGATGCGGATTCTTCAAATAAACCTCCACCACTATAAGGAAGCCTCGGCTGCTCTCTTGATCCATTTGGCTGAGCGTTGAGCCGACATCGTCCTGGTCAAAAAACCCTGGTTGGAAGGTGGAAGGGTCTTTGGACTAGGAATCAAGGAATACATGGTGCTAGCAGTCAAAACAGAATATATAACTAGAGCCTGCATTCTTGTTCCGTACTTACAGTGACGCAGACAACACGGCAGCGACCGTGTAAAACTTTAATTAGAGTACTGCCGGCAGAAGAGCTAGTGGAAAAGCTAGCAGAAATCAGCGAGAAGATCAAGATGGGCCTACTAATAGTATGCAACTGCAACGCTCAAGACCTCGGTAAGACCCTTTTTAACTTAAAACTTAGGTCAAAACTGTTCCTCTGCATCAAGAATTTTTTTTCAACCATAGAGACATCCTTAATTTTCAAAAAAAGTTGTTCAAAACCCCAGGAAAAATAACTGGACCAAATATTCCAAAACCCTTGAAAAGAACACCGCACCACAACTACAAGACCATCCGCAAAACTTAAAAAGTCTGATCGTTCTGGTGCAACCATTTCCCCAAAAAACAAAACAAAAATAGCAAATTAAAAGAAAAAGCGAAGAAAAGAGCACTTCCAAAAGCAAAACCAATAAAACGAATTAAGCCCCCTGGTGCTTCTCAGAACCAGAACGCTGGACTGACTACAAGGCCTCCCTGGCCATATATAAGATAACCATTCGTAAAGCGAAGCGCTTCTCTTGGAACTCTTTCAACTCAGACATAGAAAATCCATTCCAAATCAAACTATCCTAAAAAAAAAGATGGCGCCTGGACTAACACGAGTGAGCCTAGCACGAATCTCTGCTGCTGGACTTCCCCGGATGCTCTCCACAATCAGGAAGTCCATCAGACGATAGCGTCCCTCCCACAATTTTTAATCCAAGCTTTGACCAGAAAACTCTACACTGGGCAATACACGGCTTAAAACCGTACGATTCTGCTGGTCCCTACGAAAAAATAGCCGCGCAAATCCAACATGTGGTCGAAATCGCCATGAACTGGATCTTGAACATTTTCAAAAGATAATTCTTCCTGGGAAAACTTATACAGCCATGACTCAGTCACGTATGGGACACCAAATGATGTTTGAACACCAATTGTGTTTATACTCTCATACGACACCAAATGACTTTAGACCAATAGGTCTATCATCCTTTTTGCTTAAGACCCTTTTGCTTAAGTCGGTAACCAGCCTCCTCCTAAGAACCTCTCTTAGCCAAACCCAAAACCTCTCTTATCTGCAGAAATGCTTTCGATTCTATGCAAGATGAAAGACGGGGCTGAAAAGTAGTGGCGTACGAGGACGAAGTGGCAATTACACAGCCACACAAAAAAAAAATATTTTTTCGGGTCTGGAGGACAGACCATGTTTTTTATATGTTTTCGGGGTCGCTGAATCCGAATCCGAGGTCCAAAAAACCCCAGCACGTCAGGGTTCTGACATAACCTTAAAAAAAAAATATATTGGATTCCGTGGGTCAGACCATGTTTTTTATATGTTTTCAGGGTCGCTGAATCCGAATTCGAGGTCTAAAAAACTCCAGAATGTCAGGGTTACGACATAACCTCAAAAACTTGATAAAATTTTTATTTTCCGAGCGACCCCAAAAACATATGGTAAACATGATCTGAGCCCAGAACTCGGAAATAAAAATTTTAGCAAGTTTTTGAGGTTATGTCGTAACCCTGAAATTCTGGAGTTTTTTAGACCTCGGATTCGGATTCAGCGACCCTGAAAACATATAATAAACATGGTCTGACCCACGGACTCCAATATAATTTTGTATGAGGTTTTTTGAGATTATGTCAGAACCCTGACGTGCTGGGGTTTTTTGGACCTCGGTTTCGGATTCAGCAACCCCGAAAACATATAAAAAACATGGTCTGACCTCCAGACCCGAAAAAATATTTTTTTTTGTGTGGCTGTGTTATTTTTACAGAAAAAAATCCTATTCCAACGGTGAAGTAAAAATATTCAGTGACAGCCAGTGACGGCTATCAAATCATTCGTATCGATCTCAAGCAACTCAAAAACAGTCAGCCTGTAGATCATCTCCTCACGAGATGGCACAACAGAATAACATTAGCCTCATTTAGCTTGATCGTATAGGCACTACCACACAGCCCCAGTCCGAAATGGAGTATACTAGTATTTCCATAGCCTTATACAAACTTCGACCACTAAAAATACAGCATATAGACAACCCATTTCATACAACGAAAATGGCTGCGAAAATTTCTTGCGACAGGCCCCAGAGCTTAATGTCTTTTTTACGCTCATCGTTCGTTCGTCTTACGCTCATATTCTCATTGAATGTTTTTTGTTTCTCAGTCTCTGAAAGGAGCGCGATGAAGAAGGTTGGACTGCGCTTCGATTGATCTTTGTATGTATGCGAGTCACACATTTACAAACATGGGTGCATATGTGCGTGCGATTTCGTTTCGAAGCCAGCGCAATTTTTGATTTGTCTAACTTTTCAGGATTGCTACCCTAACCAAATTCGGGTATTCGTTATTTGGTGTAATGACTAAAGAAATTATATTAAATTTTTAATATTTTAGCATACATTTTAAATTTATTTAGGAATAAGATTAGGTGTTAGGAATAAAGTGTTTTGTATACATATATTTTTACGAATCATTAAAAATCAATATACTGAGAAAGGAACAGGGTATATTTCAGTCGACATCACTTAAAACGCCGATTGCTTTTAAGTTTTTGTTGTGAATTGTGCTTTCATACCCTACCGATTAATGATTTTTAGGGAAGTGAGCAGACACAAATCTTTACTTTGCCTTTTTTCAGTCTGTTTTTATGCATTTTTTAAAATTGAGTTTGTAGTTATTTTCTTATTTAGTCAACTTTAATATAAAATTAAAAATACTAATTTAAAAAAAGGTACCAACATATTCCAAAAATTTTCTTTGCTACAATTTGTTGAAAACATTAATTAAAAATAAAGAAATGTATTTTTTAAAATTTTTGAATCATACATTTATTAAATGAAGAAGAAACTCATAGCTAGTGTCCCAAAAAGAAATTTTATTTTTTGCTGTCCGGTCCTTAAACTGGAGGACTGGAGCTTTTTTGTTTATACTGTGTGTGTTTATACTGTTTATACAGTGCGGCATAGCTAGGGCAAAGAATTTTCCCCGAATTTAAATTTAAGTTAAGTTTATTTAAGTAGAATTAAGTAATTAAATTAAAGTTTACACCACACTTATGCAAACTCAAGGGTTATCCCTTAGGGGGTAACAATTATGGGGTATTGGGGAACAATTTTGTAACTCATTTTACATTTACCTCCCAAAATTTGATGGTCTTAAAAAATGAATTGTATTCGACAGTATGCTACAGTAACTATGCAACATCTACGAGTACACTATGAGAATAAATAATTTATGCTCCCTAGGATTTAAGCAATTTAAAAATTCCAATGAGGCTTACTTATTATTAGATATAAACAAGAAAGGAACGCTTCGGCCGGAGCCAAAATTGATATACCCTTGCAGTTAAGATCGGATATACATATATCGCAAATATCGAATATAGTTGGCCTATGCTTATGAGAATTTCATAATAAAACTAATTTATTAAAATATAAAATTAAAAAAAAACTCCTAAGCTTCTATCTTGAAAAATACCAAAAGTTGCGTCATTTCCGATCTTTTAGTTATATGGCAGCTAAAGGAAAAAGTCGGCCGATCCTTATGCTGCTATGGGATATAGTCGGCTGATGACGGCCGTTCCGACTTAGATACATATATACCATACTTCAAGCAAAGGAAACAACAGAGTATGCAAAGTTTTAGGTAGATAGCTTTATAACTGATACCCTAGTTCCCAAAAAAACAGACATACGGATCCTTAGAACCTAATCAAAAATAAAAATACCTTATAGGGTCGGATAAGTCTTCTTCACTGTGTTGCACACCTTTGACAGAAATTATAAAAAGGGTATAAAAAATAAGATAAAAATGGACAGGGGTATAAAAATGGTTAATGGATATAATGAAACATTAAAATAATTCTTAAAACTTTTTTCAATTTTAATTTTTGTTTTTATTTTATGGAAACACTGGTAATACATAATATTTAAAACTCACGTTCTGAGGGGGAGTATTTTTTATTATTTAATTATTTATATACTAAAATGTTACATTTAATGATTTGCAATACTTACAATTTAATGATATACAAATAAAAATGTCTGAAAACTGTGATTTTTACCCGACATATAAAAAAAATAATCATAATTTGTAACAATTATAATAATGATTTGTAACAATTTTAATAATAGTTTGTATCCAAAAGCTTACTCTTAATACGTAAACTAACTACGATTTTTTATTTCTTTGCAATGTTTAATTAGACGACGTTTTAATCCTATAAGCTTAATAACAATGAACATTTACTCACGATAGTATCTTGGGTAATTTTCTTGTAGGTACAGAGGTAATCAGTTGGCCCCATACAAGTGTGCCAATTCCAAAAAATATACACCAAAGCCATTGATCTAGCGTTAAGGCTTTTGTAGAAAACGCCATTTTTCCATATTGAATTATCAATACCTATTTAAAAATATCATTTAAGCGTATCAAATATTTATTTACATGTAAAAAAAATCCTACCTGTGATATCATAGTAAATATCCATATTGTGTAGAATATGGGATTTGTAAACAATCCTTCAATAACGTTTCTTTGACCATGTATTTTTCTTGCATTTATTTCGTTAAACAACGTCATCATGACAAATGTGTTAAATATAATAGTAAAATGCTGTGTTGGTCCTGCATTGATCTCTTGTCCACGTCCAGACTCAATATCAAGTATTAAATCACCTGTAATTCATAAAAAGTTATATAGAGAAAATTTTCTATTTATAGAAACATACCGACAAACAACAATCCAAATATTATAACCAACTGGTAAAGTGCTTGCCCAAGAATGTTTTTCATCATTGTGCGTGAAATCAAAGGCTTGGTACGACCATATGGCTTTCGAAGCAAAAGATCCGGTGTTGGTAGCTCCGTAGCCAATGCTAGCGATGCCAATGTATCCATTATTAGATTGACCCACAACATTTGCACTGCCTATAAAGTTTAAACATTAAAAACTCGATTTCGAGATTTAAAATTAAACTTACTTTAAGAGGCGAATCCTGGACCGCACATGCTCCTATAAATGCAACAATTACAGCAACCACATTAACAGTTAACTGAAATTGCAAAAACTTGGCTATGGAATCATAAACATTCCTTCCCCACATTACAGCTTTAACAATGCTGCTAAAGTTATCATCGGTTAGTATAATATCGGACGCTTCTTTTGCTACGTCTGTCCCCGCAATTCCCATAGCGAAGCCTACATCGGCTTTTTTAAGAGCTGGGCCATCATTAGTTCCATCGCCAGTTACAGCAACTACTTCACGGTTTTCGCTTACAGTGCTGTCAATAATACCTTAAAATAAAACGAAAAATGTAACATGAAAAGTCAGAAATATGAAAGTTAGGCAATAATGATTGTATTTTATTCCCATAGTACAGCTTTTTATTTTTCCAAATCTATTACACCGCTGAACTTAACGTTTCGTTTTTATTGAGCGTTAAAAAATCATAAATTTTTTTTCAAAAAACTAATAAATATAATAAACAAATTTCAGTTTCAGTTGCCGGAACGTTCTGATTGCTGGTCACACATAAGAACTTTGCACTTTTTTTCAGGGACCGTAAATAATGATTATTGTCGCTATTTTTAAATAAATAAATCAATCACTTCCAATCAACATAAAACAAGCATGACAAGCACGTTTCTATCCTTTAAGGATACACTATGAATATCCTTGATGATTTTTAATTTTTATATTTATTCTTCTATTGTTAAACATTATTTTTGAGCGAAAAAAATAAAAATCACGAATAATCATTATTTTTTAGTTTTATTTTTTTTGCTGAAGCTTAATGATTATTTGTGATTTTTATTTTTTTTGCTCAAAACTAATGATTAGTCTTGATTTAAAAAATTAAAAATCGATAAGTAATCAACACAAAGTAATTTTTAAAATATTACTTATAATGATTACGGTCCCTGCTTTTTATACCCTTGCAGAGGGTATTATAATTTTGTCCAAAAGTGTGCAACGCAGTGAAGGAGACATCTCCGACCCTATAAAGTATATATATTCTTGATCAGGATCACCTCCTGAGTTGATATGAGCATGTCCGTCTGTCCGTCTGTCTGTCTGTCTGTTTCTACGCAAACTAGTCTCTCAGTTTTAAAGCTATCGACTTGAAACTTTGCACACACCCTTCTTTCCTTTGCACGCAGTATATAAGTCTGAACGACCGGGATCGGCCGACTATATCCTATAGCTGCCATATAACTGATTGATCGGAAATGGTATAACTTTGGTGTTTTTTGCAGGGACTGCAAATAAGACTTATGAGTTCAAACAAATTGAACGACAAAAAAGCCTTTGTGGGGAGTGGGAAAAGGGCACATATACCATTTTTTAACGGTGAATCCAGAAAAACAATAAACTTTTATTTCAATTTCTATTCCCAGTTTATAAGGAGCTGAAAACTCGCATCCACCAGAGGGGACTTACTGCCCGCACCCAAAATAATCAGTTCATAGCCTCCAGGACAAACCCTGAAGTCTTCTTCTCGACCGCAGCCAGATCCTCACTAGGACTTATAAACTCTGACAAAAATGTCACATACGCAAGCGCTTTAAAATCAGGACTGGCTACCCCAGCCTCAAAAAGCTCACTGCCGCAATCAGCACACCAAGAACCGAACACGGCTCAGCAGTATCAACTTCCGGAGCAGTCAAAAAGTAACTTTGAAGCTATGATATGCAGTCTACAACAAAGCCTTACGGAGTTCATGTCGTTTATGCGTACAACTATGCAAGATCTAATGCGAAACCAAAATCTATTAATACAAATGCTGGTTTCACAACAATCCAAATAATGACTTCCCTACGAATATCTACATGGAACGCTAACGGCGTTTCGCAGCATAAACTCGAGTTAGCGCAATTCCTACTAGACAATCAAATCGACGTAATGCTGCTTTCAGAAACACATCTTACGAACAGATACAATTTCCAACTACGAGGATATTCATTCTATGGAACAAATCATCCAGACGGTAAAGCACACGGCGGGACTGGAATTTTAAGCAGAAGCCGTATCAAGCACCATTATCATACGAAATTTGCAAAAACTACCTACAGGCCACATCAATAAATATACACCTAAATACTGGCAAGCAATTAACTCTAGCTGCCGTAAACTGCCCCCCACGCTTCACCATAGCCGAAGATGAGTTTATGCAGTTTTTCAATTCACTCGGAGACCACTTCATAGCAGCAGGAGACTACAATGCCAAGCACACACACTGGGGATCTCGTCTTGTGACCCCAAAAGGAAAGCAGCTCTATAATGCAATTATCAAAGCTAAGAACAAGCTAGACTATGCTTCTTCTGGCACACCAACATACTGGCCGGCAGACCCAAAGAAACTTCCCGATTTAATTGACTTTGCGATTACCAAAAACATTCCTAAAAATCTGATATGCGCCGACTGCCTTTCGGATCTTTCATCTGATCACTCGCCTGTCCTTTTTACTCTACTCCAACACCCAGGAACATGGGATCAATCATCAAATCTGACCTCGCATAAAACCAATTGGGTTAAGTACAGGAAGTACATCAGCTCACACATTAAGCTGAGTCCTCACCTCAGCGACGAAGCCAACGTAGACAGTTTTGTTAATTCGCTGGAGTCTGTACTCGTCTCTGCAGCTCGAGTTTCAACACCTCAAATTATAAACACACAACGCAATCAAAAGAAGACAAATCTACAAATCGAACAGCTCGTCCTCGAAAAGCGACGCTTACGTCGAGAATGGCAATGTCACAGATCGCCATCTGCTAAGCAACGCTTCAAACATGCCTCACGTCAACTTGATCAAGCTCTACAGCAAGAAGAAACGTATGTCCACCACCGCTACATAGAGCAATTGTCAACTAACAGTACGAAACACTCACTATGGAGAGCTCACCCAACTCTGAGCTCACCGAAAGAAACCGTGATGCCTATTAGAAATTCCACAGGCGGGTGGGCGCGCAGCGACGCAGACAGAGCCAGTACGTTTGCCAAACACCTTAAAAATGTCTTCCAACCAAATCCTGCCACCAATGCGTTTACTTTGCCGACTCTATCAGATGAGCCCCAGCCTCAACATGAGCCGATTGAGTTTCGCCCAAACGAAATCGTTAACATCATCAAACGACAACTGAATCCGAAAAAATCCCCGGGCTGCGACCGCATAACTCCCAAAATGATCATTGAGCTCCCATACTGTGCCGTTTGCACTCTCACCCAGCTATTTAATGCCATCGCAAAACTTGGCCACTTTCCAGTGAGATGGAAAAAGTCAATTATAATAATGATAGCAAAGCCGGGAAAAGACCACACTATCCCCACGTTGTATAGACCTATAAGCCTACTCTCTTGCCTATCTAAACTCTTTGAAAAATGCCTAATGACTCGGATAAACACATACCTGAGAATCCAGGAAGGAATCCCGTCACACCAATTTGGGTTTCGTGAAAAGCATGGAACAATTGAGCAGGTCAACCGGATAACATCCGAAATTCGGAACGCGTTCGAAAAACGAGAGTACTGTACTGCCATATTTTTAGATGTCTCTCAAGCATTCGATAGAGTCTGGCTGGAAGGTCTAATGTACAAGATCAAGACAATGCTCCCCTACAGCACCCACAAGATTTTGGAGTCTTACCTTCACGACAGAAAATTTGTCGTGAGGTGCAATACCGCTATATCCGATGAGTACACTGTTGGAGCTGGAGTTCCTCAAGGCAACGTGCTAGGGCCAATATTATATGTCCTCTACACAGCAGATATCCCGACAAGCACACGTCTAACAACATCCACGTTTGCCGATGACACAGCTATTCTTAGCCGCTCAAAATGCCCGATTCAAGCAACTGCGCAGCTAGCTCATCATGTGGTCGATGTCGAAAAATGGCTGTCAGACTGGCGAATTAAAGTGAACGAACTAAAATGCAAGCATGTTACGTTCACTCTGAACAGGCAAAACTGGCCTCCGATAACACTAAACAACACTCTACTCCCACAAGCAAACGAAGTAACATACCTAGGAGTACATCTCGACAGAAGACTCACATGGCGCCGGCACATTGAAGCCAAAAGAACACACCTAAAGCTAAAAGCCAGCGGTCTTCATTGGCTTATCAACGCTCGGTCACCTCTTAGCCTTGAACATAAAGTCCTGCTGTACAACTCGGAACTAAAACCTATTTGGATGTACGGCTCCCAGTTATGGGGGAACGCCAGCAATAGCAACATTGACATAATTCAAAGAGTTCAGTCGAAGATCTTGAGAACAATCACCGGGGCACCGTGGTACGTTCGCAACGAAAACATACACCGCGACTGAAACATTCGACCAGTCAAAGAAGCGATCGCAGAACAGAAGGTAAAGTACTTAACCAAGCTATCGGTGCACCCTTATTACCTGGCGAGAGGTATAACAAGGTTGAGCAACCAATCACGTCTTCGTCGCAATGACTTACCCACCCAGCGACCGACCTGAGGGACGCACAACCAGAATGCAGTCTTAGCATACTGTTAGTTAAATTTTAATGTTAAGATTCGTCAACTTATTGTTAGTCTCAAAATTAAGAGTAGATTCAATAAATCAGGGACTGTAACGGTTATAATTAAAAAAGCAAAAAATTACAAAATAAAAGTTATTTCTTAATTTTTATGAAAAAAATTGATTTTTAATAATTAAAATTAATTTTAATAATAAAAAATTAGTAATAATTATTAAGTATCAATTTTTATATAAAAATTACGCAATAACTTTTATTTTGTAATTTTTATTATATAAATTGAAAAATAAAAATTATTCGATAACTTTTATTTTAAAAATTGAAAATAAAGATTGAATCTATATATCTTTTGATCCGTTGAAAACTTATTACATACATACATATATGTATGTATATATACATACTTATTATATACCATCTGAAAGGTATTGATGTGTTGATCATATATATACATATATATTGGATCTGGCTTCAACGGATCAAAAGATATATAGATTCAATCTTTATTTTCAATTTTTAAAATAAAAGTTATCGAATAATTTTTATTTTTTAATTTATATAATAAAAATTACAAAATAAAAGTTAATGCGTAATTTTTATATAAAAATTGATACTTAATAATTATTACTAATTTTTTATTATTAAAATTAATTTTAATTATTAAAAATCAATTTTTTTCATAAAAATTGAAAAAAAAAATTTATCTTGTTTTTGAATTCGCAATGAAAATTTAACTTATGACAATTTTTTTCAATTTTTTTGGAGACTGTTTTGGGCTTCAATTTTTTTA